ACTGCTGTAAGAATTCCAGGAAATCACCCACCTGAAATCTCATCTGGAGAAGAAGATTCTGGAAAAGTGGCTCTGGAGGAAGAGCAGCAGCATAAAGAGCTATAGCATAAAAAGCAGCAGCATAAAAAGCAGCATGTCAGCCCTGGTGGGATACCATGAAGGACCAGTAATCAAGGTCTGGGAGGCCAAAGAGCAGGATAACAATAACAACAACTACCACCTACCCAGCCTCCTGGAACTAGCCTTGGATAAAAACATGGATAATTACCTGCAGGTGCAGAAGTAGTAGAGGATGACTGCAGCCTGATGAGTGAGGAGAAGCAGAAGCTGCTGGAGATGAAGGAGAAGATGCTGGAAGACCTACGGCAGGAACAGCAGGCCACAGAGCTGCTTGCAGCCAAGTACAAGGCCATGGAGAGCAAGCTTCTCCATTGGGGCAAGGACGTCATGGATCACACCAAACAGCAGCAGAAGATACTGAAACTGAAGAGTGAGGAGACTGCCAAGCAGAAATGCCAGGAGCAGGAAATATAGCAGGAGGTGGTGATCTGAGATGAAGAGATCATGTAGTTCTGGGGCAGAAGTCAAACCCAGGAAACTCGAGAAGCTCCATGCCAAGCAGCAGGCAGTGAAGGCGGAGATCCAGGACCAGTATGATGAGTACATCTGCATGTAGCAGGACCTGCAGAAGGCACAGAATGAGGAGACCTGGGAACTCAAGTTCAAGTACCTAATCATCAAGAACTTCATCTCCCCTGAGGAGGACAAGATCATAAACCAGGTTTTTCTGGACTGTGAGGAGGAGCAGTAGAAGGTCCAGCCACTTGTGCCAGCTGGGTTTAATAACAGCCATAGAAGGTCCAGCCACTTGTGCCAGCTGGGTTTAATAACAGCCAAAAGAAGCAGCAGCCCATGTCTTCAGTGGACTACAAGAGGTCTATCAGCTGGCACACTCAGTTACCATGGCAATGGGGTCCCACCCCAGCCACAGGGCTGAAAGTATAATGTTTTGGAGTTGGATATATCCCCTTCAGATGCGTTTGTGATGGAATCCTCTCAGACTAAGAACAAGAACCCATGCACTATATATGGATAGGCTCATGCAACTAAAAGAGCTTTCTGGAAATAAAATCCAGGTCTAAAGTCTGAAAGTCCAGGTCCTGGTGCCAGAGTCCTCAGTGGCCTCCATCCTCCACCACACATACCTCACTTGCCTCTGCTACTCTGCACCCTGCTACTGTGCTAGACCAAAATGACAATCTGCAGTCAGGCTGCCCATCCGACAGACTCCTGGGGTGGGGCAGCCAACCCTAGATCATCTCATCACCTGCTTGGTGTATATGTGCATGTATGTGTGCATATGGGTGAGAGGGTGAAAATCTGGCAGACCATGCCTCTACCTGTTCTTCTTAGCCCCCTTTATTTCATTAATGTTTTATTTGTGGAGCTCAGTGTGGGAAGATATGTCCTTGCCTGAGCTTTCTGGGCCTTCCATGGTCACTGCATAGCCTCCTTTTCTTCTGACATTAGACACCCCCAGTGAGACCTTAAGCTTCTCCCCACCATCTGCCCCCAGAAGGGAAGGTGGCTAGTGCCTATGAAGAAAGTAGTTTCTCAAACTGGTTTACTCCATAATCTCCATCTCCTTCAGATTGACAGTAAGCATCTCCTAAGCACTTTCTGGGACCTTCAGATTGACAGTGAGCATCTCCTAATCACTTTCTGAGACTAGAGAAAAATCTAGGTGTCTACTGAGGACAACAGACATCTTGACAGGGCTGGGCCTGTCCTCCCAACAGACAGAACTTCACTCTCAACTTTCCTGGCTTCAGACAACCTCTTTCAGCTTCTTAGGTGCCTTTTCAAGGATTTAAATGACCTTACCACACAGCCCATGCTTGGCAAGAACTCATAGCTTCCCAAATTCTGCTTTCTGCTCACCTTTCCAACCCATGGGTGGGAATTGTGCACCATCCAGTTGCTGCCTCCTTGGGACCTGGAAATGGAATAGTAATGGAGACAATGTGCACAATCATAAAGGGAAGTCCCTCCTCCAGGTCCCTTTGTTTCTATCCTCTCCAGGAAGTAACTTTGGTCAACAAATGATCAAGCCAACTCCCCATGTTTGAGATGTTGCTCCTTTCTGCTTTGATCATTTTCCCTGCAGCTTCCTGGATCCCACTTCACAGTGGGATGGATCAACATTATTTTCCCCCTGGCTAAACATAAGTATTGAAACCTGTTGCTTTCCCCCACCTCATTTAGTACAGGAGACTGAGACCCAGGCACAATCTACAACTTTGCTTATCACCCGTTTCTGAATCACATTTGTTGGGCATCATTTCGTTGAAAACTGACCCTTTCTTCAGCATTGTGCAAACTGATCCCTAGGTAAGTACTCCTCACCTTCTTTTGTGACACCCCAAGATGTCTCCACGTATCTCAGGTGATAAGCAAATTTCTACCAAAAAGGGAGGGGGGGAGGGTAACCCAGAACACAGCTGGAGGGGCATAAGCACGGCTGTGCTCATGGCTTAGGGACACAAGTTCCAACTTGATGTTGACGTAGGGGTGGGTGGTGACCATGAGGGCAACATCCATGTGGAACAATAGTGTAAGGTCCCTATCTGCCTTCTACAGGGACTCAGAGTAGCAGGTGTCCCTGTGCTGACACTGAACCTCAAGTAGGCTGAGGGTCAGGCGGGTGGCCTGGACTTAACACATTGGACATGGGCTCCTACAATCGTCTACCCAACCCGAGTTTGCATCTCTGTTTCCAGTGCTCCGAGGGGTCCCAGAGAGACGGTCCAGGAGAGGAAGACAGGCAGGGTGCCATGGAGGGCAGAGGGAGTGTTCCTTTTGCCCACCATGGTTTAAGGCATTCCTCTGAGGCGGCCTGTCCTTCAGAACAGTCTGCATTCTGAGCCAGGCCGGGCACTAGAGTGGTGGCTAGAGACTGGACAGGCGGGCAAGAAGAGGGAGACGCAGGGTCCCCCAGCTTAGGGATCTGCCCTGAGAGCACAAATATCTGCTTCGAAGTGACCATCCACTGACCCTTGGGGCAGACATTCAACTCCACCTGCAGTGGCCTGGGGCCGTGTCCCCAGTGTGTTCTTGGAAACTCCGGAGTGCCATTCTATGTTCCTAGTAAGGCAACGGGGGGGGGGGGGGGGGGGGGGGTGGGGTGTGCGGAGAGCCTCCTTACCGACCCCTGGAACACGTCCATCCCTGAGAAAGCGGGGTTCAACACCGCTGACTCTCACCTTCGTGGGTATGTGTACTGTGCTCTTTGCGCATGGTGTTTTTTGCGGTTGTCGCTGTTGTTTTACAAGTTTACTTTGACCCCTGAGGTGAAGAAACTTGTTTTCATTGTTGTTGACTTCATGAAGTTCTCGACACGGAATCCCGAGAGGAAGGGAGAGCCCCTCCCCACGGCGGTAACAAGGCGGGGAGGGTCCTCAGGCCTCGGGCCCACGGGATGAGGGGCGGGGAGCGCGGAGCTCGCAGAAGAGGCTGACGTAGGTTGTGCTGCCACAGAAAATCGGCCCCAGCGGCCTGGCAGCACAAGCGGGCGGCGCTCTGGGCGAGCTGGGGGCGCTGACGGTGGTGCTGCTGAGGTCGGAGCGGCTGTAGTCGAAAAGGGAGAGAGACGGTGTGGGTCCCGCCGGGGCTGAAAGCCGTGCGGCTGCGCGCGAGCTTCCTCTGGAGGTCCTCGGCTGCGCCCGACGAGCTTCCCACAGGTGGGCCTCGCAACTTCTTGCGCGTGCGCAGTGAGGCGGTGCTGCGCCAGCTCGCCGGAGGCGCGGAATTCGAACTTCAGCAAGCCGTGCTGCCGGCCGCCAGCGAAGGGCCGTGTGCCTGTGTGAGTTCCCAGCCCCAAAACTTTCTCGCAGCCTGCGTAGTGGCACTTGTGCTTCCTCTTCGGGCTCCGGCCCCTTCCGTCCCCTTGTAGGAGGCTGGGCTCGCTGCTGCCTGGCGTCTTGCTCAGGCTTCGGCTTCAGCTGGGCTGGCGTTCGGGCTTGTTGCTCGCGGGGCGGGGGAGGGGTGGCGCCTCTGCGCCTGCGCCGCAGCCTTGAGGCGGGTTGCGGGGTGTTGGGGGGGCGCGGAGGGAGGGCAGGGGTCCCACTACTGGACCCCACGCTGCGCTCTGCCAGGGCGCGCACCTGCGCTCGCCGGTTGAAGTACGCCGGGACCCCTGCAACTGGGAAGTGGAAAGCCCTGCCCTTGCCTTCTTGGCCTCCCTGGAAGCGGGACAGCATGGCGGGTCAGCAGCTGGCTGGGCCCTTCTGACCTTGTGCAGCCGAGTGGTTGGGCAAGGACAGGAAAGAACCAGAACAAACTTCTAGTTATAAAATAAATAACTAATGGGGAATGTAACAGTACAGCATGGTGACTTCAGTTAATATTGTATTGTATATTTAAAGTTGCTAAGAGAGTGGATCTTAGAAGTTCTCGTTACAAGGGAAAACCCCAGCTGTTTTGAATTCTTTATCAGGGATGTTTTTGGGATCGGTTACTAGCAGATTATTGCGATCCCCTGTTGGTGTCATGTTTCCATGATTTTTTATGTTTCTTGTACTTCTTGCAGTTGCTGTCCTTCCATTAGAAGTAACAGTCACTTCTAGTCTTTACTGACCGATTTTAGGAAAGAAATACCTTCCCACTACCTGCTAGGAATTCTTAGGCTTTCTCAGTCCTTCTGTGGATGCACCTGCCTCACACCTCTTGCTTCCCCTTGTGGCAGAATTCTTAAGCTTATGTGCCTTCTCTCCATCCTGCAACACACTAGGCAGGTTGCTAGCCTCCCTTTTGCTTTCCCAGTGGTGACGCCAGAGCTCAAATTAGTGGTTGCTTCCTGGCCTGCAGATTGAGACTGATTTTCTGCAGTGCTCACTAGCCATCTGCCAAAGCTTGTTTGCCTCCATCAGGAGTGTGCACAAGGAGCTCGCCACACAGTTTGGGGTGTGTGTGGTGAGTTGCACAGAGCACTAGGGGTGCCCATGGGCCAGTTGGGTAGATCCACGGTGAGGCTTCCCCAGTGGCTCTTGGGCAGGCTTCTTGATGGAGTCCAAGATGCAGTAAACAGGATCCGGATCCACGTCCCTCTAAGGCCCTCTGAGACTCCTCTCTGCCACTCTCACAGCATCTTCCCTACCCCAAGTAGTGCTGCTCGTGACTCAGTTCTCTGGATGGGGTGAAGAAGAAATGGGCCTCTTGGGCAGCATCTCACTTGGCTGGGGAATCTGGGGTGAAGAAGAAATGGGCCTCTTGGGCAGCATCTCACTTGGCTGGGGAATCTGAGTACTCATTCATATGCTTTCACTTTCTCCATGTGAGAAATCATGGGCCAAGATGGTCTCTTTTGACACTAATCTGTGCTGCCTTGAGGGAGGGGTTATGCAGGTAAAGTCAGACTGTCCCTTTTACCCTCTCTAGTGCATCCAAACTCATTTTTTTTTTTTTTTCCTCCAACAGTATGCTGGAAGTACGCTACAGGGTTCCTGGACTTCTACAAAGGCACTCTCATCCTTGGGTCTAACTCTGTGTTCTCCAGGGGCTTCCAGACCACGCTAAAGGATGAGAGCCAGTTTACAGGGCACTGCAGGGTCCACAGCCAGGACCAAGGTATGTATGAATATGACCTGAAGCATGGTGGTCAGCAATTTATGATGGTCGATGTGGTCTGGGTCCCAACGACACTGAAGTTCTAAACAAACAAAAAACCGAGCACATTCTGCATGTCCTGATTTGATTTGTGATTGATTGAACTTTGAATCATAGAAGTGTGATAACACTCATAACCACTGAAATTAATATTTCATGGATCATTAAAATCAAAACAAAACAAATGAAGTTCAGACAATGTTATTTTTTTGCAATAGTTCTATTAGTAATTTCTTAAAAATATAACTAGATTATTTAAAATTAAAAAGTATACTTAATATTGCTTTTGTGTTTTCTACGTGTATAACCATCATTGGTGCCATACAGACTTGAGTAAAATTAGTAAATATTTTTATAGACTCCCACTGTCATTGATTCAATAGATCCATGAACATTCAGACAGTGTTTATTAATTTTAACGAATTTTGCTGTTAGAATATCATGTTAGGTGTAATTCATTGAACTGAAGATGATATTCTTTCTTTGACTTTCAAAAAGAAATAGATTTTGTTTTTTATTATTTTTAAAAATTATATTGGATTATAGTTGATTTACAATGTTCTGTTTCAGGTGTACATCAAAGTGATTCAGTTATACATATACATATATTCATTCTTTTTCAGATTCTTTTCTCATATAGGTTATCACAGAATATTGAGTAGAGGTGCCTGTACTATACAGTAGGTCCTTGTTGGCTGTCTATATATAGTAGTGTGTGTATGTTAATCCCAAGCTCCTGATTTATTCCTCCCCCCGCTAACATTTCCCCTTTGGTAACCATAAGTTTGTTTTCAATATCTGTTTCTGTTTTGTAAATAAGTTCATTTGTATCATTTTTAAAAATTAGATTTCACATATAAGTGATATCATATGATATTTGTCTTTCTCTGTCTGACTCACTTCACTTAGTATGATAATCTCTAGGTACAGTCATGTAGCTGGAAATGGCATTAGTTCTTTTTTATGGCTGAGGAATACTCCATTGTATATATGTACCACATCTTCTTTTATCCATTCCTCTGTCGATGGGCATTTAGGTTGCTTCCTTTTCTTGGTTATTGTAAATAGTGCTGCAATGAACATTGGGGTGCATGTATCTTTTCAAATTATGGTTTTCTCTGGACATATGCCCAGGAGTGGGCATATGGTAGGTCTATTTTTAGTTTTTTAAGGAACCTCCATACTGTTCTCCATAGTGGTTGTACCAATTTACATTCCCACCAACAGTGTAGGAGGGTTCCCTTTTCTCCACACAGTCTCCAGCATGTATTGTTTGTAGACTTTTTGATGATGGCCATTCTGACCTGTGTGAGATGATACCTCATTGTAGCTTTAATTTGTATTTCTCTGATAATTAATGATATTGAGCATCTTTTCATGTGCTTTTTGGCCATCTGTATATCTTCTTTGGAGAAATGTCTATTTAGATCTTCTGCCCAGTTTTTGATTGGGTTATCTGTTTTTTGATATTGAGCTGCATGAGCTGTTTGTATATTTTGGAGATTAATCCCTTGTCAGTCGCTTCATTTGCAAATATTTTCTCCCATTCTGTGGGTTGTCTTTTTGTTTTATTTATGGTTCCCTTTGCTGTGCAAAAGCTTTTAAGTTTAGTTAGGTCCCATTTGTTTATTTTTGTTTTTATTTTCATTACTTGAGGAGGTGGATCAAAAAAGATCTTGCTGTGATTTATGTCAAAGAGTGTTCTGCCTATGTTTTCCTCAAAGAGTTTTATAGTGTCCAGCCTTACATTTAGGTCTTTAATCCATTTTGAGTTTATTTTTGTGTATGGTGTTAGAGAATGTTCTAATTTCATTCTTTTACATGTAGCTGTCCAGTTTTCCCAACACCACTTATTGAAGAATTTGTCTTCTCCATTGTATATTCTTGCCTCCTTTATCATAGATCAATTGAACATAGGTACATGTGTTTATTTCTGGGCTTTCTATCCTGTTCCACTGATCGATATTTCTGTTTTTGTGCCAGTACCATACTGTTTTTATTACTGTAGCTTTGTAGTATAGTCTGAAGTCAGGGAGCCTGATACCTGCAGCTCCGTTTTTCTTTCTGAGGTTTGCTTTGGCTATTTGTGTTTCCATACAAATTAAAAAATTTTTTGTTCTATTTCTGTGAAAAATGCCATTGGCAATTTGATTGGGATTGCGTTGAATCTGTAGATTGCCTTGGGTAGTATAGTCATTTTCACAATATAGAGTTAGTGTGCTAGGTCCCACTGTATGTGTAACCTTGTGTGTGCCCTTCAAGAGTGGAGTTTCTGTTTCCACTAGTCCTGTGGAGCTCCTGCACTCAAGCCCCGCTGGCCTTCAAAGCCAAATGCTCTGGTGGTTCCTCCTCCTGATGCCAGATCCTCAGGCTAGGGAACCTGACATGGGGCTCAGGACTCTCACCCTTGTGGGAGAACCTCTGTGATATAACTATATTCCAGTCTGTGGGTTGCCCACATGGTGGGGATGGAATTTGATTATGTCGTGAAAGTGCCCCTCCTACAGTCTTGTGGCTTCTTCTTTGTCTTTTAAATGTAAAATATCTTTTCTGGTAGGTTCCAGTCTTTTTTGTTGATGGTTGTTCAGCAGTTAGTTGTGATTTTGGTGTTTTTGTGAGGGGAGGTGAACGTTGGTGAAATCCTTATACTTCACCATCTTTTCTGGAATTGAGGGGCTGCTTTTAGTTTGGATGCTTGCTGACTCCTCAGCGTGTGCTGTTATTCCCTTGATATGGGGGTGTGCAGGTGCAGTGGCCCTTGTGTGCTTCCAGTATGGTGGGGGCAGGGCTTGGATCCTGCTCACCGGTCTCATATGGGCAGCTGCTTGCTGTCCGCACACTCTGGGACAGCAGGGGCAGCCCTTGGCACCTGTTCACCGGTCTTGTAGCGGCGGCCCATGTCCACCTCTGGAGCCCATGATGGTAGCGGTGGTGACTCTGAAGATAATATTCTTATTTTACTCTCTTGGGAAATAGAAAAAATAGATAATGTTGATACCATAACATACATTTCCCAAAGTGCTTCTTCTAACCAAACAATTAGTGAACTATTCAGGTGTATTCACTGCATACATCATTACAGAGTTGGTATATAATGTTTAATTTGTGAGTAAGAGCAAGATATGTCACCTGGAATACAGTGATATGCACTTTGGCCTTCAAAGCAGTCTTCACAGAAGACTCAAAAAAATCCTAAGGCCCCTGCAGTAATCTTGTATGGAATGCAAATAATACTTTTTAAAGGTTGTTCTGCTTCAGGACAAAATATTTTTGACCCATTTTTGACCTGATGCTAAAACAGGGCTTCAATACAAAGATGCAAGTGAAGGTTCTTAAATAAACACACAGCAATAAATTTCATGGATTTTGCATGTGTATTAAATATTTGTATATACCATTAGGGTGTGACCTTAAATTGTTAAAATGTATTAGTTCATCTCATTTCTACATTTCAGCACATAATGTATACTCAGTATATGACTTTAATTACTTTGCTTATAGTTAATATCCTCTGATTATTATTTTTTCTATTGTAAATTATAAGTTGTCCTGAGTTATACCATATATACATATATTTAATGAAATTATAGTTTTATAATTCATTAAAATGTTATTACATTCTGATGCCAAGTAAATTTGTTTTTCTATTAATACACATATCAGCTAGGATATATTAATATACATATCAGTTAGGATATTTGCAGTGGTGACAGCGCTAAATCTCAAAGTAACTTAAACAAAATCAATTAATTTCTGTCCATATTATGGCAGAAATTGCTAATAAAACTTTTAGACTTATAATGCTCTTTTAGCTGACAATTAAAAAGTAATGAGAGCTAATCTCCTCCTTCAGTATGCATCTTAATTGCCCCAAATAACTGCTTTTGCTTAATTTATATGTCTACCTCTGAGCTAATCATTATGAATACTCTGATTGGCCAGTCTGGGTTTTAGGTTCATCTCTGTAGGCATGAGAGGTAAGTTTTTCTGAAAGAAAAAAAAAGAAGCTTTCATTATAAGGAAAAAGGATATTGAATTTTCAGAGTTCATAATATTATGTTTCCACAGTCTAACTCTCTAGCCTTACAGACTTCAGCCTACCCCTTCAGGGATTTGGCCTCAAACTTCACATATAACCTCTGACAGTCATGGGAGCTTTGATCTCTCTCAATCTACTTTGGATACTTCAGTAATAGTAGATGTGAAGAAGTCTACCCTAGGTCCCAAGATTGAAAGTTTCTCAGTTTCTCCAGTACAGAAAGATCTGAACATTCCATTGCCTTGATGAAAACCCATGAGTCCTTCATTGCTCTTAGTATAAGTCAAATCACAATCCTTTTCTCTGGTTTATTTTCTTGTTCTTATATCTCTCCAGCTACATCTTTCAAAAACTCTTCATCCAAAGCTCTATTATTCAGTAATATTGAATTTTTTTTTTGTTCTTTAAAAGTACTATTTTTTTAAACTTATTCATTATTTATTTATTTATTTTTAACATCTTTATTGGAATATAATTGCTTTACAATGGTGTGTTAGTTTCTGCTTTATAACAAAGTGAATCAGATATACATATACATATGTCCCCATATCTCTTCCCTCTTGTGTCTCCCACCCTCCCTATCCCACCCCTCTAGGTGGTCACAAAGCACAGAGCTGATCTCCCTGTGCTATGCGGCTGCTTCCCACTAGCTAGCTATTTTACGTTTGGTAGTGTCTATATGTCCATGCCACTCTCTCACTTTGTCCCAGCTTACCCTTCCCCCTCCCTGTATCCTCAAGTCCATTCTCTAGTAGGTCTGCATCTTTATTCTCTGTTATTTCACATGACATCTCAATATGCTCTTCCCTCTGCTGGAATCCACCTGCCTCAGTGTCTTCACTAAGCTAACGTATAGTCATTTGTATTCTTTTATTATATATCATTTACTCTGGAAAGTGCATTCCTCCAAAATAAAGCTGGCAGCCAGTTGGTCAGATTTTCTGGTTACACTCTAAATCTGATCCTTTGCCTTTTTTCTCCCAACATTGCATATGAACGTTATAAAATAAAACGAAAACACATATTAGGGCCAAGAGGTTAAAATGCCTATGAATATGACCACATGCCCAAGTCTGAACTCTAGATACTAAAAGTTTAGGACAAAGGTCTTCATGTTATCATTAGCAGAAGTTACACCATGAAGCAGTTTTCAAATTCTGTAAGGTAAACTGTGGGACTTCCCTATCTCTCATGATTCTGGTCAATGACGTAGTTGCTTTAACTTATAAAATTATATAAATGGGTGGATATTTTTCCAGTTATGCCAAAATGTAATGTTTAGAGTCACAAAAGTAACAGAATCAAGATAGGTGAAGGGAGAGGTAGTGGGGAGAGATGCTTAAAGTAAAGCAAGAGGCTTGTTTGCTAATTAGTATTTCCTCGTTGCCTGCTCTGATCTCCTCTTCATTCTGACAGTGCTTCATGAACAGTTTTATCTATGTCTTTGTGCTATTTTTATATCCTCCACAATCTAGTGTAAGAGTTCCCTCCCACATGTTAAAGTTAATCACAGTAACTCAGTGTCCTCCTGATTTAGAGATAAGCAAATATCTTGACGTTTCACCCACTCAGGAGTTAATAAATGTTCCTCAAATTATTGATAGAATCAGTTGTTCACTCTCCCTTGCAAAATTTTTAGAGTAGTAAATTGATTCCTCAGCTATGCTCAGAAACATTATTAACACAAAATAATACAGGCTGGCAGTGATTATTGCTCCACTGACTTGCTCTGACTGACCATCTTCTGTTACCCAAAACAAAGAAAATTGTTTCATTATTGTTTGTGACTTTTCATTTGTTCAGAAGCTGGGGTGATTTATAATCAAATTTCATCAATGGTAAGGCAAAATAAAGGTAGCAAACCACTATGGAGCCAACAAAGAACACCTCTGAGACCAAGGGTTGCTATCTCACTGCTTCCCAGATTATGCACCTCTTTGAGATGTATCGTACATTCAGGCATAAATATAGTGAGACCATGATATCGTTATAGGACTTGACCATAGTGAAAGGATAAACCTTACTTTCACCTCTGTGCATTTTGTCCTACCCACATTGCCTAGAGGCAGTGTGATGATTTGCCTATAAGATTAAATGATCAATGAATTGATGAATCATATTTCTAATTTATTAAAGTATAATTAACAGTATTTTAATTGTGTAGTTCCATGAGTTATGACAAATATACATACTGATGTAATCATAACCACAGTCAAGATACATAACATTTTCCATCTCCCCAAAAAGTCCTTGTATGTCACTTTGCAGGCAACCCTTCCCTTATCCCTGATTCAGATGATATCTGCTGTGACTATAGATTAGTTTTGCTTCCTCTAGAATTTTATATGTATGATGTATTAATCTCCTGAGGCTTCTGTAAAAAATCACCACAAACGTGGTGGCTTAAAACAGCAGAGCATGTCGAATTTATAGTTGTTGTGGGAAAATGGTTATCTTAAATAGAAAATAAAAAAAAATAAATGTAGCAAAATAGATGCAAGTACTGGACACTGAAAATACTAAATATTGGTAAGAAAAAAATAAGGCAATACTTTCCCTTTTATTTGGGGAATCCATCAGAAGGGTACACCTGAAGGGGAGATATAAGAAGCATGAGAGAGATTCCACCTGCCATTTTTGGAGGAAGTGGGGATATATGGAAACATGAGAAGGAAGGTGGGTGGCCTCTAGGAGAAAAGACCAGCCCTTTGCTGACAGCCAGCAAGGAAATGGGTTCCTACCACAAGTGAAAGAAAATGAATCCTGCCAGTTGAATGAGCCTGGGGTCACATTCCTCCCTAGAACCTCCAGAAAGGAGCACAGCCCTACTGGGTATTATAAGCAAAAGCAGAGAGAACATGGTATATTAGACATCTGTAATATAAGAGGCAATAGTCAGAAGTTACAATGTATTTATTATGCTCTTAAGTATTTTGCCCCTTTTATCCCATGGAAAAGCCAATGCTTATATTCCAGGTGCTAGAGGGAAAAAAAAAGGCATAGCAAATTTTGGCTCTTATGTGTCTTTCCTTCTGTTCCACTTTTTCTCACACAGTTGATTTGTTCCAAATCTATGCCAATAATGGACACTCTTTAGATGAAAAAGAAATAGAAAATGTGCTTGCCTATGTAAACAAAAGGTTAAAATGAAATAGCTGAACAAAATTAGCTATTCAGGCTGATTTATTTGCATTGTAAAACTGTTTTTTTTCCAAACTGCTTATAATTTAAATTATAGAACTTTGCTTAAGAAGGTTTAATATACCTCATTTTATTGCTGTAGAATTTAGAAGAAAATAATATATGATGGCTTTCCCAAAATCTCTACTAGAGAGTACTGTAATCTGTAATAGAACCTAGGACCTCTTATTTCTCTAAAAGTTAATATCTATCCCCAATTTTAACAGAAATTTAAATTATATTTCTATGCATTATATTTTGTTAGAATGAATCTTATTTATATTCAGTAGTTAATCTAAAAGAATATGTTACTTTGAATTGCATATTAAAAAAGCTAAACATTAATACAAAATATATTTAAAACAATCTATTAATTGCAAAATAATAGCCATTAATTTTTCAACATACTATGTGATTCTCTTTTTTGCCTGTTTATTGAGCCTAGTATTTGATTATAGTAATAAAATGCATTATAAAAATTATTACAATAATTAGCCATGATGGAGTTAGTTTGGAAACCAAACCAGGCATAAATGTAGCAATAATCACAAAGAGTCTAGAGTACTTTAACCTAAAATAAAAAAATTCTAAACTTTCACATTTAATCTAAATTGAATTTATATGGTTAAAGAGTGTATCCAGGGAGTTTCTTTCATTAAAGTTATCATTAGCTTTAGTTTTTAAAGGTTTCTCCCTTATGTGA